AGCGTATAGAGCTCTTGTACATAAGGTCGCTATGAGTTGCAAGCGACTTGATGGCACATAACAACAACAAAGCATCCTTGATTATAGCAACTCGAGGTTTGAATTTGTTCTTCAGTTCTTTGAGCTTAAGAAATGCTGAATGAAAAAAAAAAAAAGAAATGCTGAATGAGTTCGGCTCTTTTGATTTTCTGACTCTAGCTCCTCGCACATTTTATTATCATATTTTGCTTTATCATTCCATGCTGCCTTTTGGAATCTTCTGTTCAGCACTTTAGTATCTTGAATTCTTCCTTGTGCTTTGGCTTCTCTACGCTCCAGTGCAATCTTCCAAGTTTCTTCTGACATACATTTTGGTCTTTTCTTCCTCTTGTGTCTTTGTAATGACCGTTTGCACTCTTCCTGGATGATACATCTGACATCCTCCCACAACTCATCTGGTCTTCGCTCATTAGTGTTTAAGGCCTCAAACCTGTTCCTGAGATGATTCTGAAATTCAGGTGGGATGAAATCAAAGTCATATTTTGGCTCCTGTGGGTTCAGTTTAATTTTCCTCAGCTTCAGCTTGAACTTGCATATGAGTAGTTGGTGGTCTGTTCCACAATCAGCTCCTGGACTAGTTTTCACAGCTGATATTGAGTTTCTCCAGCTAAGTGATCTACTTCTGAAAAATTCTTTCTTATTGCTGTTGGGTCAGAATCATAGCTGACACTTCAGAGGTTTTGGAGGCTGTACATCACATTGAAGGACACAGCACAACTTTCTCCAGCAAAACTGCTGGTGGATCCAAACCAGCAGTCGTGGCCTTTTGGTTAATAGCACAACTCCCTAGGAACTACACCACCAGAATGTGCCTCTGAAAAATTAGTCTATGAAAATCTTATAGGGATTCATTCTAACACACATGGGGTCACTATGGAGTAAGAACTAACTCCACAGCAACCACTTAACCTTTAAAGAGTCCCTACACATTGATAAGCAACCCCTCAAATAAGAAAACTGGGAGAGATCAGAAATTACCTTCCCCAAATGGTCATGGTTAAGGAGAGGGGAGGCTAGCCTTCTGCCCTGACAAACCTGGGAGTAGGTAGCACTCTGCTTCTCCAACAGCACCATTCGCTCTGTCTGCTGGCTCTTTGTGTCCTGGCACTGCTGCTTCTCACTCTTCAACACCTCAGCTAGTTTCCACATCTTTGCTGCCTTCAGGGTTTCGCTGTCTGCATCTAGACAGAGACAGAAGACTAGACAGGAAAACTCTAACCACTACTGCCAATTTAAGAGCATTTTTCAGTGTCTCTATCCTATATCTGGAGCTCTGGTGGAATAGTCCATAAGTAATTGTGATGCTAACCCAAAAGTGCCTCACTGGTGGCTGGAATTCACTAGCAGCATCAAGAGAAAGACAATCTCATCTCAAGCAAGTAACAGCCTCTGAGAACTCACTGGAAGGTTAGCTATGAGTCAGTTCCAACTTGATAGCAATGAGTTGAGTATCCTACAACTAAGAGCTCTAGTAGTATAATGGTTTAAGTACCAGGTTATAAACCAAAAGATAGATTAAAAAAATGTGGCAGTTGGCGTCTATAAAGATTACAACTTTGAGTCATATGATTTGGAGTGGGGCCAGGGCCAGGGCCATCCTCCAGGGGAAGGTTCAACTGGGATCACAGCCTCAACACCTGCAGACCTGAGGCCTCAGCTCCAAATGGACAGGAGAAAGTGGCCCTCCCACCGTTGGCTGAAGGCTGCAGGTTTTTCTAGTATGTAACCAGCATGTGAACTGTATTACATATGTGGCAATGAGTTAATCATGTAAGCGTACAGATTTCAAACCAGCCTCGCACTATAGTAGCCACACTCCCTAAACATAGTCACCAATAAAACATCAAAGCTTTCCTCACACTGTCCCCCTAGACCAAAGGGAGACTTCTTTAAAAATATCATTAAAGAAATGTACGGAGGCTCTATTTTTTAAAAAAAAAGATTACAACTTTGGAAACCCTACAGAGCAGTTTCACTCAGATCTACAGGGTTGCTGTGAGTTAGGATTGCATCAGTAGCAGTGGGGTTCTAATTTTTTTCTAAATCCTATATCTAATCCTATATATCTAACTTTGCCTTCTTTCAGACTTTTCTTTGAAGCTTTGGTAAAGGGAAGTGTGGAGTAATTATTATCCAAAGGGTTTTGGGTTTGTTTAAGATGATGAAAAACTTCTGGACACAACTGTACAATATGGTAAATGTACTTAATATCAATAATATGACTGTAAAATATGGTAAATGTAATTAAATGTCACAGAATTGTATGGTTAAAATTTTTGTTATATATATTTTACCATAATTTAAAAAAAAATATGAAGTTCTGGTGGGCTAGAGCGTAAGGAGTTGCAATGCCAGCTCAAAAGTAGACAGTTCAAATCCAGTAACTGCTCTGCAGAAGAAAAATGGACAATCTCCTGTACAATTTACAGCCTCTGAAAACTAGCTGGAGGGTCACTTATGACTCAACAGCAATAAATTGAGTTTAGTAAGATATTTTTCTCAAAATTAGGACGTCTGTGACACAGTGGTTAAAATCTGGTTGCTAGGCAAAGGTTTAGTGGTTCAAACCTTCAAGCTGCTTCATAGGAGAAAAAATGCAGCAGTCTATTCTGTAAAGACTACAACCTTGGAAACCTTATGAAGTTGTTTCACTGTTCTTCAGGGTTGCTACAAGTATTAACTAAACAGCAATGTGTTAGGTCTTGGTTTCATCAAAATGAAATTATTTATTCTCATCTTTAGGTGTAGATTTGTCTCTTAATTCTTGTTATAGAAGTAAAGATATAAGGCACACCTGTGATCCTCAGTTTCCCTCCTTGTGCCATTCTGATCCTAAGAAGAACTACTTTCTCGCAACACTAGAACATTCCTGTTACCACCTTGCCAAACAAAACGAGTGCTTAAAAAAATTCCTTCCTTCTTTTATTCCACCTATAGGGGAACAAACAATGAGTAATTCCAAAGCTTCCCCAGTTCTACCCAAACTGAAAGTTCTAATATACCAACTATTTTCAAATCAGCAGCCAGGGACCCCTGAAGGCCAGCCAAGAGCAGAAAGAGCATCACTCACCAGAACTGGGATCATGGTAGCAGAGCAGGGTGAAACACTTCTTCTTGAGCTGCTCCTCCACTTCGAGCTGGAGTCGAGCTCTCATCCACATAAAGTCCTCCAGCCACAAAAGTGAAAAGAGACGCAAATAAAATCCTTAAAACCAGCAAGATCCAGCCAACAGATAGATGATAATAATCTCAATTTTAACAATGACAACAACAAAACATACAAAGCAAAATCTAAGTTTTAGATCCTCAAACTAGCAAAGATGAAAACTCTTGTCAAGATCCAATATTGATGAAAACATGGAGAATCAGGATCATTTTTCTGGAGACCTATCTGGCATTTATATCAAATTACATATGTATATCCTGACTCAGCGATCCTACTACTAAATACCAACACTAGAAAAGCTGTCATATAAAAGCAAAGCTACATATCAACTAGCAGGTTCTTATCAGTAAACATCTGAAAATAACATTAAAGTCTATCAATAAGGTTAAAAAAATTATGCTACATTCATACAACGGAATCTTAGTTGTGATTTATACTGATGATAAAAGAACACCGGCACTATGTGCCTGTACACTGTGCCATGAGTACATTAAGAGGTATTATCTTATTTACATTTATTTATTAACATGAAAAATGCCAAAAATGTTAACATGAAAACAGATTATATGCTCTATACAAGCATGGGAAGTATACTACAATTATGTGAAGCTGTACATGATTCTACCTCTACAGGGCACTCTAGTGACCTAGCGGGTAAGGGAGTTACACTGCGAACCCAAGGGTGGTGGTTCATATCTGTCAGCCACTTCTCAGGAAGGAGATACACAATTTCCTCCTCTGTGATTTACAGCTTCTGAAAACCCATTGACAGTTAGATGGTTCAGCCTCAACAGGAATGAATTTTTTTTTCTACATGTAAGATTTGAGAATTCACTTTCTTTTGTATAATATTTTTCTTACTCAAGTTTTGATCACAATGAATGTGTATCATTTTTACAGAAAACAGTTTAAAAAATCCTTTTTTTCTTTTTAACCTTTTTGTTGTTGTTGTGTACTGTCGAACTGGATCCGACTGGCACAGGAGGAGATTACCCCTCCTCCAGTGAAGCATCTTGTGGATTATTCTAACCTCATGCCTTTGGGATTGCAGTGCAGCTTCTTGCCACTAGGCCACCAAAATTCCCTTCAACAAATCTTTTTTTTTTAGATAGTAAGCCATTTTATTTCTTTGGCCCTCGTCTGTTTGCCCCAACCTCTGAAGGCGGCATGAGCTCCAGCAGGTCTGCTTTCTCCAGTCCAAGTAATGAAGGCATCTCCTTTTCCTGGTTGGGACCTATGAGCCGTGTCAGTTCAGTCACTAGCAGCCGCTGCTCAAGGGTCTCATGAAACTGAAAGAGAGGATAAAAACTAAAAAGGTATTATAAATATCCTCCCACTCCACCTCCTCCATCCTCACATCCAGTCCTTTATACATTTTTTAAGTCATCAAACATGTCATTCCTTTCAGATAACTCCTAAGTTGTGAATACCTCTTCTTTTTTAATTTTTCTTTACAACACACCTACTTTTCTCATAATTACAGTTCTTTTCATTTTTTTTATTCACTTATTGCTGAAAGGTCCTGTTTCCCATGGATCAGATAATCAGACAAAGCTACAACTAGCCCAGTCAAATCTGAAGCTGGTAACAAACAATCCCTAACTTCAACTCTTCTGTCTTACCTTCTTGTCTTCGGAGGTTATATTTGTGTCTTGTGCCTTCACATAGTAGTCCACAAGTAGCTCTTGGATGACCCTTTGCAGAATCTCTGACCTCAACCATGATGTCTTATGCAGCCGAATATCTTTCCATGCCTAGGAAACAAAAAATTGAAGTATCTCTCTCTAGGGAGGATTCTCCCTTCCTTCCATCATCTCCTTACCTGAGCCTGCTCCTTTGCCAAGGCATGGCTTAAACCACTTTCATCCATATGCTGTGAAAGACTCAGTAGTAGCTTGCCAAAGTATGGGTTCTGTAACAGGTCCTCTTCACTCAAGTTACAAGGAGGCAGCTGTTTGCTGCATACTTAAGGAGAGAGAAAAAAGCAAAAGGGACAGGCTTTCATTTAACATAACTGTGCATACCTCAATTTATACTCACTTCGCAAAAAAACCCCAAGTTTTTGGGAGAGATAATTTCTTAAACTAATGATATTTATGTTTAAAGTATCTATAAACAAACTAGAGACAATACTCAATGTAACCAGCATCTATTTAATATTGTTGCTGTTATTAGCTATTATTAAGTCAGCTCTAACTTAAGGTGACTCCACATACAAAAGAACAAAATTTTGTCTGGTCTTGCAAACTTTGCCTGGTCCATCTTCACAATCACTCGAATGTTTTAGTCCTAATCTCCAACTGACACTGAATAACTATCCAATCACTCAAACTCTCTCTAAGCTTTAAAACAGATTTTGTTGTGTGTAATTTGAGTGCCTACCAACTAATTTTTCAGCACCATATCAGACAGTAATCTGTTATGATTCATAGGATTTTCATTAGCTCAGTAGACTATCAGGACTTTCTCTCTTGTCTACTTCAATCTGAAAACACCACTTAAACCTGCCTATCATAGATGATCCTGCTGGGATCTCAAATAGTATCACAGCAACACATGTTACTACAGTACAATAAACTGACAGGTGGGAGGTGGATATGTAATATACAAGGACTGACATCATTGGGTCTTTGTTATGTGCCATTGAGTAGATTCTATTTTTTTTCCCCATTGTTGTATACTGTCAAATTGGATCTGACTGGAACAGGAGATTACCCCTCTTTCTCCAGGGGAAATTCTGGTGGATTCGAACCATATGCCTTTGGGACTGCAGCATAGCTTCTTGCCATTAGGCCGCCAGAGCTCCCTGAGTAGATTTTAATAGCAACTCTTCTATGACTGAACAGGACTACACAGTAGTTTCCAGCTGGTAATCTTCAGAGAAGTAGATTTCCAGATTATTTTCTTCTAAGGAGTAGCTGGTAAATTTGAATCACTGACCTTTTATTTAGCAACAAGGTGTTTAACCACTGTGCCACAAGAGTGTCTTTTAATAAAATTAAAATCTTAGAAAATAGAAATGTAGCTAGACAGTATTAAAAAGAATTGAGAGTAAGAGACCATTTAGGAGGGACCACTACAATATCTCAAAGGGCTCATTTACACAGACTAACAATTTCATGAGGAAGAAAAACAAAACATGTTAAGTTTCAATTTTGGATGTGTTCTCTAGTCACATAGTAAAACTTTCAGAAGTTATTGTTACAAGCAAGTAAAAAAACTTATGTTTACCAAACCTTCACTATTAAAATAAAGCTGCAGCATAACCCATGTGGATTCACTAGAATGGCAGTAAATGAAAGAGAAAAGGATGAAATACATTCAAATCCGGTTATTTTTTTATATCAAAGCACTTCCTTTTCATCTCCTTTCCCATATGCTCCATCTGTTTCACTCCTACTTACCAATTATTCAGATTTCTATTCTTTGCACCATCATATCCAAAAATTTTTTGGAGAATAACAAATACTTTTTTTAGTGATCTTTTTATTACATTAATACAGTCAGTGTGAGTTAGCCATGAAAATGCTAAAACAACAACAAAATATAAATACTTAATACTTAGTTAAGTATTTATTATCCTGGTACCTGAAACAAACACAAATAGAAGAAATACCTCCTTTTTTTGCAGTCTGCTCCTCTCAAGATTAAGAGCCTTGGAAATGTGGTGGATTACCACTAGAAATTGGAAGTGACTCAAAAGCAGCAATGGGTTGGGTGTGGGTTTTAAGGTTATTGAAAAGGAGAAATGTTGGTTCCGAGGCAAAACTCACTTTTCATGTAGAGCACCTCAGTTCAACCCTGGGTCAATGTACCTTCTGCATAGCAACCATGTGTCTGTCATGGGAATCAATGCTAAACAGATTTCAGAGGAACTCCAGACTAAGATGGACTAGGAAGAAAGGCCTAGTGATAATCAGCCAATGAAAACTATATGGATCACAATGGCACAATCTGCAACCAAACCTGAGGATGGACAGTGAAGAATACAGCAGTATTTTGTTCCCTTGTACATGAGGTCACAAAGTGATGGGAGCAGACTTGATAGTAGGTATCCAAGTACTGAAGGGTTCAAAATGGAAATATTCAAAATATAGAAGATTAAAGTTCTTAAAGGTAAAAAATAAAGAATTCAAAATGCACTAGGACTTAAGACATGGAAAGATCTAAGAGAAAAAAATAATTTACAATCATAGCAGAAATAAAAAGGAAATTGTTAAGGAATTTGCTGGCTGACTTGTCGTGTTTGCTAAAGCAGTATGGGAGAATCTTTTTAGTGCATTATACAAGGACTCCTGGTGGCACAGTGAGTTAGGCATCATGCTTCTAACCAAAATGTCAGTTGTTTGAATCCCCTGGCCACTCTGCAGAACTATCAAGTGGTCTGCTTTCATAAAGATTTACAGCTCTGGAAACACTGTGGCAGTTCTACTGTTTTATAGTGTGGCTGGGAGTTGCAATCAATTTGATGGCAATGGATTTGGGTTGGGTACAAGCTGACACTGAGTTGGGTCAAGGTTTTCCAAAATGAAAGTGTCCAGGAATGTTTAGGTATATTAACTAATACTTCTATGAAACATACAGTTGAACATTCTAAGTTCTTTTTGTTAAAGAAAGCAAGAACTTAGATCCAGCTTCTCTAAATAAGCCTCTTACAACTGCTCTCCTTACCTTGAAGTATTTTCATCTCTTCTCCAGGTAAGCAGAAATCACCAGAAGCCATCTGATTTTCTTGAGATTTTTTTAACTGTGGAACCAAGTGAAAGAAAGCAAAGAATGAATCAACTGGCTAGATACTCTGGAAAAAACTACCAAAGGTTCAAATTTGTTATTCACCAGCTGGGGAGGAATCTCAGGGTACCTCTTACAGAGAAGAGTTATCTCACACATCCTGGGTCCCAAGCAGGTTTTATGGATAGACTCACAGGCAGCAAAACACTTTGTATCCTAAGTACATAAATGCTTCCACTACAAGTGTTCCAAAATGAAGCCTTCATAGGAGGGCAAATTCTTTCACTGGAGTCTAAATTAGAGGCTCTTCACTTCCCCATCACACCTAAGTTAAAATTGAGCTGTTGCTTTCTAGTTATACGGGAACTGCTATTTTCCCCCTATAGTCAAATAACTCAGCTAAGCCTGAAATTCCACAAATCTTCAAAGCTTCTTCAATGAGTCCTTTCATCTGAGATCTGTTGGTAGTTTTTGATCATTAACTCTGTAATTGTCCTCTAAGAGTGAAAAATCATTCCATATTTTAAAAACAACTCGTTTTCACATAAAAGCATCAGTCAAGAGTATCTAGAAGAAAAAGTATGACAAGATTGGCAGTAAGGTTAGTGTGCCCACAGTAAAAGCAAAGGTGTAGTTAATGCTGAAGAGGCTGTCTCTTTTGATAGATTATGGAGTACACTGAAAAGACTGACAACACAAGGGGTAGCAGTAAACATAGGCAGTTTAGATTTAGGAAACAAAAAATTTCCCTTAAATGTTGTTTTCTATCTCTCCATCAAACTCCAAAGGGCATCTGAGCCTCTCAAAGAACAGACACTGAAGGTTATTATGATTTAACACTTCATGTTCACAGAACATTTGGTTTACTCCCTCGTTTTATGAGTAACATCAAAGTAACTACTCATTTGTTCTGTAACATGGTCTGGAGGGGGATGTAGTTGAGAAGTCAGAATGCTAGGCCTTAATTTGCAGTTTGGCCATTGCTTCTGCAAGAATTTAAGGAAAACGCTTTTCTGTGCCAAACTTTTTCCTACCTGCAAAACTGAGATAACAATTCCTGCCTTGAATGGGCCATTAAGAATTAATAACATAATCGACATGCCAACCAAAGCCACTTAGTTAAGCACATTTTAACAGTTCTGTTTATCACTGATCTAAACCCGCAAAAAAAGTTTTGCAGACGAATTCTACACACGAAGGTCCCGACTCAAACTCCCCCCCCCCCAGTATCAGCTGTTCTTCCTTTTTTAGAACTGCTCACTTCTGTTTTTTCAATGGGGATTCTCCCCCAACTCTTAAAACGTTCCAGGGCGGGCACGGTGGCGGCAATCAAGCTCGATTCTCCACCCTCTGCACTCAAACGTGTTAAAACGCTCCTACAGGGACCCAAGCATTTATATGTTCTGACTCAAGCGTCTTTTAAATTCTTAGAGCTGTCTTTACACGCAACAATGAACGTTAAATTGATTTTACAGGTACTTTCACAAGATGTGACCCTTACAGGGCTCGAGATGAATCAAAATGTGGAGAGGGCTGTGCGGCGCCCACTTCCCTTCCGTCTGGGTCACCAAAAATTCCCAAGGGCGAGGGCTGCTCCCGCCCCCGAGATCCAGGGCGTACGGGATGGACCCTCCCAGCGCTCCGCCTCCCCGCAGCACCGCCCGCGACCTTCGGAAGCTAACCTGCGCCCCAGGCGGCGGTCGAGGCCTCCGAGGCTGGCGGATGGGACAGGGCCGGCCGGCCGTGCCGTCTACACCCCGGACCCCACCCGCGCCAGGGTCCCGGAAACTCGCACTCAGGCCCCGCGCAAGGCGCAGGGGCGGCAGAAGGGGGAGCGCGCGAGTGTCCCGGGAAGGAAAGGGCTCGAACGAGGGCGGAAGCAGGCGCATCGGCGGGCGGAGGGGGCGGAGCCTCCCGTGAGCGGGAACGGTAAGCCCCGCCCCTCGGGCGCGCTCCCACGCTCTCCAACGGCCGGTCTTGGGCTCCACCCTTGCAAGCATACCACCTCTACTTGTTAAAAGCAACTTAAGAGAATGGTAGTCAAGTTGTTAACATTTATGAGGGTCTGTTTGGCCTCTTTCACTTCTTACAGTGTCTTAGGAGGAAGTGGCTCTCATAGTTTTGTTAGGTGCCGTTGAATCGCACACAAATCATAGCTACTCCATGCATAGCTCTGAAACCAGTCCTATTCTGAGCCAATCTCACTGTCTCTGACACACTTACCTTCTAATGAAGGTAACCCCAGGTATTGTGTCAGTCCATCTCATCCAGCGGTCTTCCTCTCCTGCGCTGTCCCTCTACCCTTCCAAGCATAAAGTCCTTCTCCAAGGAATGATTCCTTCTGGCAATATGCCCAAAGTATGTCAGATTGAGCTTCAAAATCCTAGCCTCAAAGGAGAAACCTGGTTTCACTTTCTCTAAGAAAGTGTTTGTTCTCTTGGCAAGTCAGACTTTTCTCCAATATCACAACTCAAAGGCACCAATTCTTCTGTTGTTCTTAGTCATGTACTGCCTCTGATGCATAGCAAGTAATTGCAAAGACCATGGCCTGGACGAGGTGCACCTTAATCTTTAGACTGACATTGTTACTCTTCAGCAATCTGGAGAGGTCCCTGACAATAGATTTTCCCAATGCAATTCGTCTCTTGATTTCCTGTCTGCTAGTGCTGAGTGTTGATTGTGGAACCAAGCAAGCTGTAATTGTTAACAACCTCAATTTCTTCTCCATTTATCATGGTGCTGTCAATTGGCCCAGTGGTGACAATTTTTGTCTTCTTGATGTTGAGCTTCAATCCAGAATGAAGACTACAGCCTTGACCTTCTGCAGCAAGTGCTTCAGATCCTCCTCAGTTTCACCAAGCAAGGCTGTGTCATCTCCATAACGCAGGTTGTTGATGAGTCTTCCTCAAATCCTGATGCCACATTCCTTCTCAAAAGACCAGCCTCCCAAATGATCTGTTTTGCATATAGATTGAATAGGTATGGAGACAAGACACATCCCAGATGCACTCCTTTTCTAATTCTGAACCATGGAGTGTTTCCCTGCTCTATTCTGACTACTGTCTCCTGATCCAAGTATAGGTGTCACACGCATGAGCACAATCAGGTGTTGTGTTCCACACACTCAAATGCCTATATAGTCAATGAAACACATTCCTGTGGTGCTGTCTGCTTTCAGCCAATACCTAGTTTATAGAGGGGAAAACTAACACACAAAGAAGCGATTTGACTTGTTCAAGGTAGCAGTTGGTGAATGACAGAGTTTAATGAAGCAACACAGCCTGGTGGCATCTTTCCACCTCTTTGAGAGGCTGTGGGGTGCCAGTTTTGTCTCTGTCCCTGCCCAGTGACCTTCTGAGCCAGTTTGGCTCTTAAGTGTTGCCCATCCATAATATTTTCTTCTTTTTCAAGCAGACTGGAATCTTGTCAAAGATGGATAATTAAAAGTAAACTATCCACCTCTTTGAGAGGCTGTGGGGTGCCAGTTTTGTCTCTGTCCCTGCCCCAGTGACCTTCTGAGCCAGTTTGGCTCTTAAGTGTTGCCCATCCATAATATTTTCTTCTTTTTCAAGCAGACTGGAATCTTGTCAAAGATGGATAATTAAAAGTAAACTATTTGATGCAAAATAAACTGTACCAAGTTGATCAAATTATATGCCTCTGATAAGCAGTAGTTGGATAGTCTGGGGTGATGAAGAAGGAATCTTGGAGAGAGATATCTTGGGAAGTATAGAGTTTCTCTGTTAGAGAATTCTGCTACCAATGGCTAGAAGAATGGTTTGATCCAGTACAGATATTTTATATTTTGTCTTCAACATCTGCCACCTTTCATGTTTAATATTAAAGTGCTGTCATTTTCAGAGGCTTTTAAAAATAATTTCTGCTTCCTCAGCTCTGTAGTGCAGTATCATTAAGTATTAGGCATAATGTTCCTAACAAACGACACTTGGAATAAAGAACAAGCATGCTTTAGTGACTCAGCTGATCAGAAATCTATGAAATTCTTCATCTCTCAGATTTGTCAAGTTTCCTAATATGATACTACAAAGCTTTAGCTGGTAGCTCGTAAGTATTTGGGGAATGGAAAGGTGAAAGGTCCAGATGCCTGTCTTCAGGTAGAAAGTTAAAAGGGATAGCAGTGGGAAGCCTTAAAATTGGAAGCCTTCATTTGCAATTACCTTTCCCAGCTGTCTCTAAAGAACTGTGTAACCTTGGACAGATCATGAACTACTGGGAGCTTCAGGTTTTTCATCTGCCAAATGGTGGAAGCAACATAGTCAACATTTCTAGCTTCTCCAGTCTTATAGTGTTGAGGTAATGATAAAATGATATAATGGCTGAGAAAGTGCTTTGGAAGTGAAGTGTTTTACATTGACATCTATTAAGCACTTATTAAGTGCCTTGGGGACACGTAAAGATAAATATGGCATGTTGCAAGGAGGGATCAGTCCTTGGAGAGGGTAGGTACAACAGAGATGATAAGGTTGGCTGAGGATAGAGCAGGCTTTAGGTCTGTTGTACATAGGGGTTGCTATGAGTTGCAAGCAACTCGACAGCACATAACAATAACAGTCTCTGTCCTGAAGAAAGAATGTTTTAATTGAGAAGTTAATATATTGTTGTTGTTATATGGCGTCGAATTACCTGCAACTCATAGCGACCCTATGTGCAATAGCTCTGAAGTTGGCCCTATCCTGAGCCAGTCTCACTGACTCTTATACACCTACCCCCACTGCCCTAAGTTACTGTGTCAATCCATCTCATCTGGGGTCTTCCTCTCCTGCGCTGTCTCTCCACCCTTCCAAGCATGATGTCCTTCTCCAAGAATCGGTCCTTCCTGGACACATACCCAAACTATGTGAGACAGAACTTCAAAATCCTAGCCTTCAAGGAGAAACTTGGTTTCACCTTCTCCAAGACAGACCTATTTGTTTTCTTGGTGATCCATGGCAGGTTCAAGACTCTTCTCCAGCACCACAACTCAAAGGCATC